AAGAGCATATACCTGATAAGGTATGCAATGCATTGTCCCCAATTAACAAATAAGAAAAACCAAAGCTACTGAAAAATGGAGTTATTAAGCTACTTACTTACTCAAGGTGACCTAGCCTTAGGATTGGAACTCAGTCAGTCTGACTTGATTATGTTATACTCTGACTTTGTTGCATAATAAAATGAGATTGATAGCGAGGATGATATTAACAAGCTAACTAATATGCCAGGAGCATTTACAGCACTGTATATAGATAAACTGTGATCTATTCCTCACAGCAATTCTATGAGGCAAGAATCCCTTTTATCTCCACTATACTGATGAGGAAATAACAGGTATGAGAGGTCATTTAGCTTGCAGGTAGCAGAGCCCAGAATGAAACCCAGGCCATTGACTCCAAAGGCCTCCTCGGGTCCCAGGCTCTGAGCGCCACGTCAGCCAGTCTCAGTCCCCACCCACCACTTACTGGCCACCTGCAGCCACACCTGGAACCACCGAGTCTCGTTCAGGACCTCCCAGCAGGTGTAGTTCCCTTCATCCTGCAGGCTCAGCGCCTCCATGTGCAGGGAGCTGGCATTCACCAGAGAGAAGCGTGGCTGGGCTGGTGGGAGGCTGGAATTGGAGGACAGGAGGAAGACAGGCTCCGAGTCATTGCGGTACCAGGTTATGAGGCCCCTCGGTCCCAAGATGTTGCCACAGCGCAGCGTGATATTCTCGTGAACTTCTCCAATGACGACAGCCTCCAGTCCTGAGTGAGGAAAGGTCAGGCTGTTACCACCTTTTTTTTTTTTTTTGCGGTACGCGGGCCTCTCACTGTTGTGGCCTCTGCCGTTGCGGAGCACAGGCTCCGGACGCGCAGGCTCAGCGGCCATGGCTCACGGGCCCAGCCGCTCCGCGGCATGTGGGATCTTCCTGGACCAGGGCACGAACCTGTGTCCCCTGCAATGGCAGGCGGACTCTCAACCACTGCACCACCAGGGAAGCCCCACCTTTCTTGATCTCCCTTTTTGCACAGTCCCTCTTCATTAAGATTTTTTAAAAATCAGGCATGTGTTTTTGAGATGCAATAACACACAGAGCCCCACCCTGTCGGGATAATTGGCCAGTACCTGACAGTAATGAACTTGTGGTGAATCACAATTGCAAACAGCCCTAATAACCCCCTCTCCCCACTATCCATGCCCTTCGCAATGTCACTCTGTGGCGCCCTCCCACTCTGACTCTGGCAGGGCCATGTGACTTGCTCTGGTCAAAGGGGTGTTAGTAAATGCGGTTCGAGCAGAGGCTTAAAAAGCACTGGTGTAATTGGGCTTGCTCACTCTCACCTTCTGCCACCACCCTGAGAAGGACATGCCTAGCTTATGTGCCAGGGGGAGGATGACAACTATATGGTGCAGTCCCCAGTTGTCTCAATCCTCCCAGCTGTGGCCATTCTAGATCAGTCTTCAGCCACTCAGTGGACGCCCAGACATGTGAGTGAGCCCAGGCAAGATCAGCAGAGCCAACTGACCAACCATGCCAGACCCTTGAGCAATAAGCACTTATTGCCATTTTGTCATTGTTTGTTATGCAGCATTGCTGTGGTAATAAATAACTGATACAGGACCCCAGTGGTTTTATTTGCCTAGCAATCCAGAAGAGGGGAAGGAAGAGGGCTTTGGCTTTGTTCCCTCTTTCCTGCTGCTCTCTCTGTCTCTCTCCATCTCGAGTCCAGTGCAAGACCTCTTAGCAGCTCCAGGCAAGAACAAGCTCACGGTGAGGACTTTGGGGCATGCTCTGTGCCAGGCACTGGGGAGCTAATGGTGGGCAAAACAGAGACCACCAGGATCTCACAGTCCAGTGGAGAAAACAGACAATAAACTGGCAATTACAATGCAGTGTGATAAATAACACAACAGTGGCTCAGAGAAGGGGCTCCTAAGTCCAGCTGTGGTTTTTGTCAGGGAAGCTTCCTCCAGGAAGCCATACTGAGATCTGATGGACAGGAAAGAATTAGCCAGGTGAAGGTGAAGCTGGGGTTCCCAGGCAGAAGGAAAAGCCCGGATCAGCAGCAGCACTGTTAGAAATGCAGATTATCAGGTCCCACCCAGAACATCTAAATCAGAAACAAACCAGGGGTGGGTGGTGGAAGGTAGAACTTTGCACTTTAACAAGCCCTCCAGGTGATTCTGATGCTCATTCAAGACTGACAAATGCTGGGACTTCCCTGGTGGTCCAGCAGTTAAGACTCCCGCTCCCAGTGCAGGGAGCCTGGGTTTGATCCCTGATCAGGGAACTAGATCCTACATTCCACAACTAAAAGATCCCGTGTGCTGCAACTAAGACCTGGCACAGCTGAATAAACGTTTTTTAAAAATTAAAAAAAAAAGACTGACAAATGCTAAGGCAATTGATTTGGCATAAGACTGCCACCAGGTAAACAGAAGCGAATGCAGCCAGTTTTGCTGAGAAGTGTCACAATTTTCCAGCCCCCTCCACAATCAGTGCCCAAATACAAGGTCTCTTACTCAGGCTGTCACATTCAATAGATGAGAGAAGTGTGATGCAAAGAAGGGAAGTGGGCTGGCCCAAAGTCCTACAATGAGAAGGGAGCAGCATGCAACTAGAGTCTAGATTTCTCCATTCAGTTCTTTTCCCACCACATCAGAAGTTTTCAAAGTACGTGAATATATTGGGGTTTTGTGAAAGATGATATTTCATTACAAAATAAACTGCCTTCAACAGTGGTATTGGGACAATCAGATTTCCATATGCAAAAGAATGAAGTTGGATCCCTTACCTCACATCATATACAAAAATTAACTCAAAATCAGGAGTCCCCTGGCGGTCCAGTGGTTAGGACTCAGCACTTTCACTGCCATGGCCCAGGTTCAGTCACTGGTCAGGGAACTAAGATCCCGCAAGCCGAGTGGCAAGGTCAAAAAAACAAAAAAAAATTAACTCAAAATAGACCATAGATCTATATGTAAGAGCTAAAACTATAAAATTCTTAGAAAAAAAAACAAAAGAATAAATCTTTGTGATTTGGGGTTAAGCGATGTTTTCTTAGATATGATACCAAAAGTAAAGTGACAAAAGAAAAATAGATCAACTGGACTTCATCAAAATTAAAACTTTTGTGCTGCAAAGGACACCATCAAGAAAGTGAAAAGACCTTTCCAGCGGTGACGATCTACCCATGAGAACATGCTTCTCGCAAAGGATCTCCTTCAACCCTCTCTGGAAGAGGAGAAGAAACACAAGAAGAAGCGCCTGGTGCAGAGCCCCAGTTCCTATTTCACGGACGTGAAATGTCCAGGATGCTATAAAATCACCACCACCTTTAGCCATATGCACAGACAGTAGTTTTGTGTGTTGGCTGCTCCACTGTCCTCTGCCAGCCTACAGGAGGAAAAGCAAGGCTTACAGAAGGATGCTCCTTTAGACGGAAGCAGTATTAAAAGCGCCCTGAGGGAGGAGATATAGGGATATATGTATACGTATAGCTGATTCACTTTGTTATAAAGCAGAAACTAACACACCATTGTAAAGCAATTATACTCCAATAAAGATGTTAAAAATAAATAATTAAAAAAAAAAATTTCCCTGAATCAAGATGAATGGGAAACCATCCCAATAAACACAGTTTGGATAAAAAAAAAAAAAAAGTGAAAAGATAACCCACAGACTGGGAGAAAATACTTGCAAATCACATCTGAGAAGGGATTTGTATCCAGAATATATAAAGAACTCTCACAACTCAACAATAAGAAGACAACTAATACATTTTAAAAATGGGCAAAGGATTTGAATAGACATTTCTCTAAAAGATAGACAAAAGGTCAATACACACATGAAAAGATGCTCATCATTAGTCACTAGAGAAAGGCAAATCAAAACCACGTTAAAGGGCTTCCCTGGTGGCGCAGTGGTTGAGAGTCCCCCTGCAGATGCAGGGAACACGGGTTCGTGCCCTGGTCTGGGAAGATCCCACATGCCGCGGAGCGGCTGGGCCCATGAGCCATGGCCGCTGGGCCTGTGCCTCCGGAGCCTGTGCTCCACAGCGGGAGAGGCCACAGCGGTGAGGGGCCCACGTAGAGCAAAAAACAAACAAACAAACAAAAAAACCTAACACTTCACACCCACTAGAATGGCTAAAATCAATGACAATAACAAGTGTTGGCAAAGATGTGGAGAAACTGGAACCATTATATATTGTTAATAGGATTTTTAAATGGTGCAGCTACACTGGTAAAGAGTTTGGCATTTCCTCACAAGGTTAAAATTATCATATGACTCAGCAATTCCACTCCTAGGTGTATATCCAAGAGAAATGAAAACATATCTACACAAAAACTTGTACATGCATGCTCACAGTTATTCATAACAGCCAAAAGGTGGAAACAACCCAAATGCCCATCAACTGATGAATGGATAAATAAAATGTGGTATATCCATACAACGGGAATATTATTAGGCTATAAAAAGGCCGAATGCTACAGCATGGATGAATCTTGAAAACACTATGCTAAGTGAAAGAAGGCAGTCATAAAAGACAACATATTGTGTGATTCCACTTATATGAAATGTCCAAACAGGCAAATCTATGGAGATAGAAAGTAGATTAGCTATTGTCTAGAGCTGGGGAAGTGGCTTGTCTGGGGATGGGGGCGGGTAGTGACGAGTGACTGTTAATACTTAAGTAGTGGGCTTCTCTTTGCAGTGATGAATTAGTGTTCTGGAATTAGTGGTAATGGTTGCATAATCTTCTGAATATACTAAACACCACTGAATTGTACAGTTTAAAAGGGTGAAGTGTATGCTATGTAAATTATATCTCAATTAGGTTGTTATAAAAAAATTAACTGCTACCTGCCTTTGGAATACCTTCCCTTTCATAAAAGAAAGAGTAACAGTTATCTGTATTTGGCCTTTTGTCTGGTTAGAAGGGGATCCCTCTGAAAGATCAGTCAGCCTGGAGCCACAGGACGTTCTGACTTTTTCCCCATTTTGGCCACACCATTCCCCAAAGCCAGGGCAAGATGGAAAAAAAAAAATTCTAAGCCACTTGCTGGAAGGCAGAAAATGTCACCTAATGCTAGAGATTCTGAAACAAGCAAGAAACGCTTCTGAACAATCACTTTAAAAAGCAAGTGAGAATTATTTTTAAACAATTAGGCCTGGGGACCCAAGTTCTCAGTGGCAATCCCCACTGAGGAGAGAAGTACGGGAGAATTACAGATGCAACGTGTGTTCACGAGATCTGCAGACCTGCCCCTTCCCCGGCTCCTTGGCAAAAGCCCTGGCGAAACTTTAGTCTTGGAACTTGAGCTAATATTGTCTTCTCCTCCAAGGAGTAGAATGACATAACCACAAAAGACACCATTTTAAGGCATTTCACTTCTCCTGGCTTTGCTCACTCCATTCTTTTTAACCACTGAAAGTGACCTTAGAGATCCTTCAGTCCTGAGGTTAAAGGTGAGGGCAGGCTGAGTCAGGGCTCAGTGGAGAAGAATTACAGTCATCGATTAGTGATGTCTGACATGGACAAGGAATGAGTGGTCCCTGAGGGTGCACTAGTTCCATGATTGATCATCCTAAACCCCCTCATTTTACAGTTGAGAAAATTGAGGTTCAGAAAGATTAAGTGATGTACTTAAGGTCCCACACAAGCCATTGTGAGAGCTGGGACTGCTATTCAGGTCTTCAATGCTCCAGGTCACAGGAATTTACTCTGGTCTCCCAACCAGAAGGGTGAGACAATAAGACGCAGTAACAATTTGTGTTACTAGAAGTCGTCCACCAGGTGCCCAGAGGGTCCCCGAAGGTCCCCCAACCTTAAATGCAGAATACGGACCAAAGGAAGGGGCAATAGAAACAACCATTTCCCAGCGCTGCCTTCACATTATCATTTACAGAGTTGACATTGTACTCAAACATTTATTTTTTTCCCTACCAACCTTTCCCCCAGAATGACCCCAGGTTTACAACCTGAGGTGACAGTGGGGGGCATGAACATTGTCCAGAGTTAAGTGACAGGAGAAAGACAATATTTTCCCCCCAGACAACTTCCGACTTGAAAAACAAAGAAGAAAAATACAAAGGTATAGTACAGGGGTCTCTACTCAATGATCTGTGGTGACCTAAATGGGAAGGAAATCTAAAAAAGAGTGGATACGTGTATACTTACAGCTGATTCACTTTGCTGTACAGCAGAAACTAACACAACGTTGTAAAGCAACTATACTCCAATAAAAATTAATAAAAAATAATAAAAGTTTAAAAAATAAAATAAATAAAAAACCAAAAATACATCAAGCGAGGCAAGCCCCCTGGCACTGTACACAAAGGTGAACTTGGCCTGGGCATCAAAATAACTGGGCATGGCAGTGGAGGAAGTCTCCCTCTGAGGTGAGCTGTAGCCAGTTCATTCCAGTACAGATTTCAGCTCAGGGTTCTGATGTCCCGAGGCCCTTGATATTCACAGTGCGGTACACGCTGCACACAGCTGGCGAAAAGGGAATACGCAATCACCTTTAACTTTCAGGGTCGGCCAGTTGGAGGCCGTGTGTCCGCTTCTCCTCCTCACAGCACAGTGACCACTAAGTATATGCCTGGAGGGGCCAGCAGGTCATGTCCATGGCTGTAGCGGGCCAGGGGTAAGTACTGCAGCAGGGAGAGGGGGAACCAATTTGCAGTCACCTGCCCGAGATGAAAATGGGTAACCACTGCTCAGTTCCACGTGGGAAAGCAGGCCATGTGCTGCCAGATCCTCAGAGTTTTCCATTTAAACGAGAAATCTAGCTCATGAGAAATTTTACTATTTTTAAATAATTGCTAAAAACAAAGCAAAATAAAAACATGGGAGAGCCTCACAATTAGGAAGTTTGGGCACTTGCTGCTAGGAAGCTCGGGGTAGGGCAGGCAATTCCTCTAGGAACCTACAAGAGATCAGCTGGGTGTGCTGGACTGGGTAACCCTGAAAATAGGACTCTGCAAGTATTCTGGGAAACTGCATCTCCTTTCCCTCAACCCGAGTCCTCTCACATGCATTCGCTGGTGAATTAAATTCAAAAGTAATTTTTCAATCTTTTTACAATTCTATATGTTTTTGTAAGCAACCCTCTATTCTTTATTGTTACAAGGCAGAGCAGAGATGAACCGTTTAAGACCTTTCGCCAATCATGTCAAGTGTAAGAGGTGATGTCAAGTGTAGGGGAAGTTTTCTGTAAGTCTGAAATTATTTCAAAGTAAAAGTTTTGTTTTGTTTTGTTATTTAAGTGAAGGAGAAAAGCACAACTTTGCGACAGTCCACACAGGTCGGCTTGCAGGAGTGTGTAGGGAAATTCACAGGTTACAGGTGCAAGTTCAACCTTGGGCAGAGGGAGGAGAGGAAAATAAAGGAGCCTCGAATTTGAGAACCATCACAGCACGTAAAACCAGAACGCGAATTTACATCCGACGCTTAAAAAAAATAAAAATAAATATTTTACGCCTCTTCAATTTTCCCATCTTCAAAACTCCCATCTTCGATTTCCCCAATTTTCCCATCACCTCTCCGCAGGCCCCTCGAGCCTCGCCGGCTGCCCACTCCAAGGGTGGGGATGTCTCGCCTTCTATCAAGCGTCCGGGAAAATTCCTTCCTGCAAAAAGCCAAGCTGCAAGCAGGAAACTCAAGATCCTCCCGGGGCGACTTCGGGGCCGCGGCACAACTGGATCCGGCAGAGTCGGAGGGAACTCGGTCCCCGGCTCTCCCTCCCCACCGTTGACTGGCAAAACTCAACTTTTCCCTCCAGATCGCAGCCCCTTACCTGCGGCGACCCAGCGGGCCAGTAGCGCCCCGAGGCAGACGAGGACCCGGGGCTCGGACGCCCGGACGCCTGCGGCCATCTCGCCCCAGATGCGGGCAGGGGCCCCTCGGGAAACGCAGGCTCCGGTTTGGCTGGGTGTGCGCCCCCAAGGACTCCTGCTCCTGCGGTAGTACTGAGTGCTCCTCCCAAGTCCTCGGAACGACAGAGTAACTCCACTTTCCGCAACCCCCAGGAAGGATGCTTGGGGTGAGCCCGATGTCAGGGTCTGGGAGCTGCGCTGGGCTCCGAGCGCGATTCTCTCTCCCGAGCGCCCGGCCCGGGGTGGGACGGCGCACCCCGCCCCCTGCGCCCGCCACCCACTCCCGCTGGCGGAAAACAACAGGAGCTGGGCTCCCTCCCGCCCATCCAGGCAGGAGCCCAACTTCCTCTACCTTGGCCCGGGAGGAGGGCTTTACGCAAAGGGCGCACGCCGGGGCGCGCCGAGCCAGGTCGGGGCAGGCCTGGGGAGGAGCACAGACGCTGGTCCCTCCCCGAGCCCACTCAGCCGGGCTGGGCCGGGCAAAGGCCTGCGGCTGCTGCAGGACGGCACCCTCGCCCCGGCCCGCCGGCTGCTACCTCCCGGGCGCTCCGGATGCGGCGCCCGGAGGAGCGTCGCGAGCCGGAGGGGTCGCCTGCCAAGGGGCAGAATTCAGGGTCCCCTCGGCTTAGCTGTTCTAGGGATTCTTAGTTGTTTTCCTGTGCCCCGGGCGGACGCCAGGGCCGCCATCGCTGCCTTTCTCTACCCTTTGCAGAAGGAAGGCAAGTCTAGAGCAGGAGAAAGATGATCCCTTAGACCTTCCAGCCAAGAGCAGCCACGAGACTCTGGTCCTCCGGTTAACTGGCTGAGACCACACAGTAAGAGCCAGGGCAGCGGAACTGGGTTCCGGGAGCTTTTTTGTTTTTCCTTTTTAGTTCCCCCACCCCCATCCAGTCTGGTTCCCAGAGAACTTCATTCCCAGCCTAAAATCCCCCTCTTCCTGCCACACCCCCATCCCAGCCTTCTGTCCTAGGGAAAACACGGTTATGATACACTCAGGAAGAGCTGATCCTTGAAACAGCCCTACCAGAAACTTCCTCTTGAAAGAAACAAAACTGCAACTAATAGAGTGAAATATTAACTGTAGACTCTAGGAAGTGGATATGGGAGTGTTCCCCTTCTTTGGATTTTTCTATGTTTGAACATTTCCCCCTCATCTCATCATAAAATGTTGGGGAAAAAACAAACAATGCTATTAAGAAAATCATTCGATCTGTTGCCCAAAGGCCCCTTACTGAAATACGTTTTCCATGAGGAAATCCTCTTGAAACCACTAAAAGTGTATGTTTCACCCATGAACTGAGCCATGATGCTGCACAGTTCCTTTTTTTCCTCTTCTGCTCAATGATTTTACCTCTTCAGCCAGCTCCTCAAAGTTTTCCTCCTTCCTCTCCCCCTTTTGTTTCTGTTTTTCATCTTTTACTTGGTGATGGAAAGTAAAGTATGTCCAGGACACACGGTCCTGTCTTCCCCGTGCCCGGCACCTCGGTTACCACCCAATATATATTTGTTAAATAGACCGATGAAAGTTGATTGGTTTTGATATTGAAGCTGCTCAAGCTTTCCTGACAAACACCTCACATCCTCACCTGAAGTTAACAAGATATAAGTACAATTAATAAGTGGCAATTTTTCAGCTGAGGGTCTGGAATTTTCTGTGACCCTACTGGTGCCTCACAGGGGGACTTGCTCAGAGCACACCCTCCTGGTATATTTGCTGAATCAAATGGACAGTCTCTTGACCAGTTCTCCACTCCTACAAGGATCAACCTCCCACAGGATATTTTACAACAGTGATTAGAGCACCTCACATTTGCATAGCTGGGGCCTTTTTCTAAAGCAGTTTTAGAAACTTAATCTCACTGGGCCCTCCCTCCAACCCTTGGACCTAAAGAATCATTCAATCCCATTTTACAAGTGAGAAACCCACAGCTAGGAAGTTAAGCTCCAGGTCACAAAGCCGGTTGGTGGTAAAGCCAGGTCTGGAACCCATGTCTGTCTGACTCCAATTCCTGCCAAACCAAGTTCCAATCTTGTCACTTACACAAAGGCTGCCATGGTCTTGTCTACTTGAAAGAAAAATGTGCAATGTAAAAGTTGTGAGTTAAGTTGAATTTCGAGACCTTACTGAGGACCACAGCTCCAGAGACAGTCTCTCAGTTAGCTCTGAGGAACCACTCAAAGAGGTAAGGTACAATCCAGGATGTATATGATCTTTTTCGCTGGGAAAAACATGTAAGTCAAGCATCAAAAGATTACTGATAACAACAAAGAACAGACATCTTAAGTTAATGATTTTAGCATTTTTCTATGTACGGAAAGATGCAAGAATTTGGGGTCATTTGAAATTTTTCCTTAGATATGCATCTTAACCATTTAGGGGCCTGTATATCCAAAGCACAGAATGTTTCCTGTTTTCTCCATCCTGAATTCCCCAGAGGTTGCACTGTTGTGGGCCACTGCAGTGGCTAGCGGCTTAATCCTTGTAGAACTGGAATGGCAGGCCGTATATTTTTCTTTATAGCCTGGATGTTTTGGATGTCACCAGACCAGCAGACATGGGCATTTCCCTGAGCAGGGCTCAAAGGAAGCCTCCAGACCACTCAGTGTGGGACAGAGCTGGCCCAGGAAGCACCCACTCTCTCTGGTTTGGGGAAGGCTGTTGCTGACTCTGAGATAGGACTTGTTAGGAAGTGCCCTGCCGTAACATCCAGTTGTGTTTCAGGCCATTCTGGACAGTGGAAAATGCCCTACCTAGAACAGTGACATTGGGGGTGAGTTGGGGGTTCACTGTGGGGTCTCTAGCAAGGTAGGGGTCTTTCAAAGGCCTAGTTTTACCTATCTGCACCTTATAGTCAATGTTTACCTCATGGGATGGCCGTGAAGATAAAGTAAGGGACTCAAAAGTCTTTAAAGCATCGCTTTGGGGTCTGTCATTTGAGATGCGCCCCAACAGAACCTGTCAGGACTCCTAAATCCTGCAACCAGATATTAAACATGAGGCTCAAACACCTCTCAGCTCAGGCTGCTACACATGGCTGTTTTTGTTTTGTTTCATTTTCACCTCCCAAGAATTGAAAAAACTTACTCTATTTTAGGTGCTTTGTGTCCATTCATTCATTACCCTTCCCAATTGACATATGGCTCAGAGCGGCCAATTTACATCTCAAGTAAATGGGGGAGTCTGGATTTGAACCCAGGTCTGAGGGGGTGTCATCTTTTTTTTTTTTCTTTTGGCCACGCCTGTGCTGCATGCAGGACCTTAGTTCCCCCGACCAGGGATCGAACCCGTGCTCCCTGCATTGGGAGCACAGAGTCTTAACCACTGGACCGCCAGGAAAGTCCCATGAGGCAGTGTCATCTTGATCAGTCTTGGTGGGAGGAATGGGGTGGGGCTCCTGCCTGACTCCAGAGCCAGCGCTCCTGCAGCCTGGGTCTTTGAAGCCATCCAGCCACCTATTATTTCCGCCCCACTACTCCTCTTGCCAAGTCCCCTCCCTAGAGGTAATGCTGAAAGGTTTCTTAGCAACAACATGCTTCTCCGTTCAACCTCTCCTGGGGGCTCAGAAAGGGCGGGCCAGTTGGGAACAGCTCAGATAGCAGCCTGGCCCCTCAGGTCCAGCTCTGGACCCCTCACTTCAAGAATTACTGAGAGGTCTGTCTAGTGGGATGCCTACCGTGTGCTATAAAACTATAGAACTAGAACTATGGAGGGGGAATAAAAAGGGAGATTGGGATTGACATATACACACTACTATATATAAAAGATAATGGAAACCTACTGTATAGCACAGAGAACTCTATTCAGTGCTCTGTAATGACCTATATGAGAATGGAGTCTAGAAGAGAGTGGATATATGTATATGTATGTATACCTGATTCACTTTGCTGTACAGGCAGAAACTAACACAACATTGTAAATCAACTATACTCCAATAAAATATTAATTTTAAAAAAAAGCATTACTAGGAGGTGGATGTCAAAATCCTACTCATGCCTTCTTGGATGGGTCGGGGACCCACAGGCTGGTGCCTCAGAAACCAGGGGCAACAAAATCAACCTGGCTTCTTCTCTGGAGAAGAAAGCCTGCTAACCCTTCCCCAAACACCACCTTCTCTCACCTCTCCTCTGCCTTCTGCCCAGAAGAAAAGAATTGAGGTGCAGGTGCTGTAGCAAGAAAGTTCCAAATCAGGCGAAGTTCCAAAAAGAAGCTGGCTGGGGGACTTCCCTGGTGGTCCAGCGGTTAGGACTCCACACTTTCACTGCTGGGGCCCTGCGTTCCATCCCCCATCTGGGAACTAAGATCCCGCAAGGTGCGGCCAAAAACAAAGCTGGCAGGATGAGACGGGAAAACGAAAAATACAGAGCTGCACAATGAATCTATTTTTGACCAAAGCCCAGCGTCTCCTCTCTGGACTCAAGACCAAGAGCTTGAAGTTCAGTGTCTCCAAGTGACACAGAACCACGGGACTTGGAAGCAGATCCACCCTCAGAAGATAAAATGCTGCTTACTGAGGCATGAGGAAAGTGATCATCCAGTGCCCTGAGAAATGGGCAACCAGCAGCTGAAAAGAGATGCATGGCTCACTCATCCTAAAGGATGAAAGGAGCCCAGCCTGTGCTGGTGAATGCGGAACCACAGATGCTCGGCTGGTGGCAGTGAGGGTGATTGTAGTGTCCGCCAATTTCCATGGTGTAAATACGTCCACGACAACCAATTACAAGTTATCACTGCGAAGTTACTGAACTATAGGCAGCTCTCCAGAGCCAGTACCTCTGGAACAGACCACTTTCCCCCCATAAGACGACTCCAAGGTGGGAAACAACAGGATTATCCAGGAGGAGACCTGCTGGGAGCCAGTTGTGCCAGATGACTCAGGTGAATACATTCTCCCATCAAACTCCTGTTCTCAGGAATTCCCTGGCAGTCCAGTGGTTAGGGCTCTGCACTCTCACTGCCAGGGGCCCAGGTTCCATCCTTGGTCAGGGGACTAAGATCCTGCAAGCTGCGTGGCCAAAGGAAAAAACAAAAAACAAAACAACTCCTGTTCTCTGCTCTCACCCTCACCTATTGAGTGCATTTGTCGGCCAACACAAATGTTACCTTCCTAACTCCAAATCGGGACATGTGGATTGGCAGTCACAAAGGTATTGAATTCATGGGGACAGAAGAACTTAGTAATCTCAGGGTATCCTGAGAAAGCTTGGATGAAGCATTTTCCTGAAGTTGTCTATTTTTTAGATAGCATTTGCTGTGTTCCTGATTATAAACATGAGCATGTTATGCTTAGTCTAGAATAATGAAAAAACAAAGAGAGAAAAGAAAATGTAACCATAAGTCATCTAGAAGTAATCACTATCATCACCAGGAACTTTTCTGCTGCATTCCAATGTGTGATTTTCTTTTTTTTTATGAAGTTGTGATGACATTTTACAGTTTTCATTCCTACTTTTTTCCCCTAAATTTATATTAAAAATAGACATTGTGTGTTTTTGACAACTAACTAGTTTTTTTAACTGGAAAACTAATAAAATGCTAATGGTTTAAAAAAAAGTCCAGATGAACCTTGCAGACATTGTGCTAAGTGAAGTAAAGTAGTCACAAAAGAACAAATACTGTATGACACCGCTTATTTGAGAGGTACCTGGTGCAATCCAGTTCCTGGAGACAGAAAGTAGAGAGGGTGAGGAGTGGGTAGAGAAATGGGGAGATGTTTAATTTATCTGTCATTTCCATTTTGCAAGAGGAAAAGTTCTGGAGATGGATGGTGGTGATGGTGGCACAACAATGTGAATGTACCTAATGTCACTGAACCATACACTTAAAAAGGTTTAAAAAAAAAGGTTAAGACGGTAAATTTTATTTTATTTTTTTATTTTGGCCACGCCCACGCGGCTTGCAGTTCCCCGACCAGGGATCGAACCTGGGCCATGGCAGTGAAAACACGGAATCCTAACCACTAGGCCACCACGGGACTCCCAAGACGTAAATTTTATGTTATGTGTGTTTTACCACAAATTTTTTTAAGGTAGAAAAAAATGGGAAAGTGACAAAACAATGAGGGGAAAAATGATATATAGATGGGACAGAGAACATAGATACTTCATTGGTGTTTGTGAATAAAAAGTTAAATCAAACAAACAAATTCCAAGCACTTTTGTAATGCAATTATATCTTGAAAGTGAGCCATCTGTCCACCTCCCCCAGGCCTCAGTCCTCTTCCCCAGGGACAACCAGTCTCACCAACTTCTGGAGACTACAGTCTTTGCTGGTTACCTAATATGCACCCGTTGGAATATTACATACCCGTTAACACTTGTTTTCAAAGTTTATGTAATGATAGAGGATCCATCTATTGTGATTACCCAGATGTGTGACGTTCAATGAGAGTTTTTTTCAACATCACTGTTGAAGTATGTTTCACATAACACACTTTCATTCTCCCATTTAAAGTCTACAGCTCAATGGTGTTTAGTATAGTCACAGGGTTGTCAGCCATCACCACAATCAATTTTAGACTTGTTTTACCTCCAAAAGAAATCCCTTACCCTTTAGCTATTACTCTCAATTCCTTCCACCCGCCACACCCAACCCCTGGCAAACACTAATCTGCTTTCTGTCTCTACGGATTTGCCTATTCTGGACATTTCATATAAATGAAACCAAACACTGTGTGTTGTGGCTGGCTGCTTTCACTTAGCATAAAGTTTTCCATTAGCATAATGTGTTCATCCGTGTTGTAACAGGTATCAGTATTTCCTTTCTTTCTATGGCAGAATTATATTCCAGGGTATGGAGATAACACATAGTGTTTATCCATTCATCACTTGATGGACATTCAATAGGTATTTAAGCAACTAAGGGACTCAGAGAACTTGGGGCACTTCTTTTCTAGTTTCCTCTCTGCCTTAACCATCATTCCACTCACGTCTTCTGGAGAAAAGATTGTTCTTGCTTCCTTTGATGCTCTACTATGAGCAGATGCTGGCATTTTACAAAAGCCTGCCTCTCTTTACTTTGATTGGGCTCTCAGTATGCCAAGGCACTGGCCTGGAACGTGGTCAGGTAGCGTTTTATGCCATTATTTTTTCTTTTTCCGAAGATTTCAGTCAAACTCCTTCGGCTGTGTAGCCAGGAATTCCCAACCTCTTAGGGTCCCAGAATCTGATCTTTGTTCGCTTCAATTCTTTCTCCCACCTTGCAAAAGTTCCATCCCATTTCTCAAAGACAAGTGCATTAAACTTAATTCCACTCTAAGATTTTTTCATTCCCTGTCTAGAATTCCCTGTCTCTGCTAAACTGGCAGAGACACAGTACCTCTTGCATCCTGGCTTTTCCAGCCAATGGCTGACTTCTTGCAAGATTTTGAGAAAATTTCCTCATAATATATAATAATGCTCTTGCCAGGCACACTTTCTATGGAAGTTCTCCTCCTATTCTTTGAGCAGACTTCAGAAGGAGGTACAAATCTTATCGACATTTTACAAATGAGGAAGCTGAGGCTCAGAGAGGTAAAATAACTTTCCAAACAAAGTCACAGCCTCCAGCCCATGTTTATAGAATGAATCACTTCTGCTCTGGGCCTCACATTTACTGACAGAAGTAAAAACTTGGACTGGGGAAAGGGAGGATTAAGAAACTTGTGATGAAAATCTATGTACCCTCTAACCAGGAAAATACACATATTCACAACATTTTAAAAGCAATTTCAAGGAGTTAGGGGAAAAAAAACCATCCTGCAGGTCTAAACTGGAATTGTCGACTGGGTTGGCTGGGCACAGGAGGAAGTGAAAAATCTCACTTACAAGGTTGAATCACCAGGTGGCGCTCTCAGTCCTGAATGGACCCTGGGTTCCACAGCCAAGGTCTTCCAAGAGATAGGAGTTGGTCCAAGCTGCCTGGAACTCAAAGAATTTCAGAGATTGTTGGTTCAAACAATAACCCTCACCATCAGAGGAGGAAAAGCGGCAGTGTGCTCAAGGTCACAGCTCATGGACAAAGCCAGAACTCACCCACTTATCTGATATTTCTGAAATGTAGCACATAGTTCCCTTACTCTGAACAGAGCGCAGTGGACACAATGCAATCTTTTCTCATGACGATTCCAGGAATGACCCTTTGTGTCTGAACGTTGCTATCTGTGGGAACCAGAAGGGCTTATCTCACACACAAAATGGCCCCAGACTGCTGTTTCTTTAATTCCTCCTGCAGGTTAGGCACTGAGCACGGGTTTGGTTCCTCCTATCTGCCAGGTTTGCTTACGTTTCCATGTGTCCTTAGGTAAGTTATTTACCCCTCTTGGAGCCTCCGTTTCTGGGGGTTATTGAGTGGACTTGATGAGGCATGCGCCAGTAAAGTACCCTGCAGGCAGTAGATGTCCAGCAATCGGTAACTATGAACATAACTGTGCTTCTTGCTCCTGTCAATTTGCTGTTTAATTTGTTGCTTTATACATTCTCTACCTTGGAACCCAGACGACTAAACTTATTAGAACTCTGGGTAAAATAAGAATACAGAGACACTAAATGAGAAAATTACCTGCTCCGCTGTGGACTCTATGACCTTTGTTTTTGTGGCTTGGCAGTCTTGATTCTCAGCTGGGTTCTGGAGAGGCAGGGGTTCCAGGTGGGCGCCTTCAGAAGATATAGGGCATTTGTGGAAATAGAAAGGAGATGGAAGGTTAGATTCCTGGATAAGTAAGTTACTTTTAGGTTTAACTACCCTAGACCTCCTTTTTCTTCTCAGCATGTATTTCTGACCATTCTGTCGATGGAAATAAGAAAACGCACAACATGAATTGTGTGTTTCAATTTTATTCAGGGACCTTATTGAGGACAATAGCCTGGGAAAGAGTCTCTAAGTAACTCTGAGGAACTGCTTCAAAGACATAGAGGGAGAGGCCAGTATACATATGATTTTGGTGAGGGAATACGTGCAGTCAAGCATACATCTCGGTAAACGGTTACTGCTAGTCACAAGTAACAGGTATCTCAGTTCATGATTTTAGTGCTTTACTAGGTGTGGGAAGATGCAAGAATCTGGGTTCATTAAAATTCCTCCTGAATATACACCCTAACTATGTAAGGGGCCTGTTTTCTAAAGTACAGAGTGCCCCATCCTGGTTTTCATCCTGAATTCCGTCAGGGTGCACTGTCGGTCAATCACTGCAGTGGCTAATGACTTAATCCTTGTAGAAACGGGTGGTGAGCAACATTCTTTGTTGTACAATTCCAATGTCAAATAGCAATGAATCTGTATTTTTACAAATAGGAAACTCCCAAAAGGCAAAACCCCAAGGAATGTGAAATTTCACTTTTCAGCGCATTTGTTCATTGCCAAAGTCCTTTCAGACATATACACTCTTCAGTCACTCACACACTCCAGCCCTGGAGTCCATCTCCTCCCCTCTGTTCCCACACTCCTTACTGGAGTTCTGACCTTTACTGTGTGCCAGGCACCATGCTGGATACTGCAGTAACAATGGGGAACAGAACAAAGAGAGGGCTTTGCCTTCATGGAGCCCACACTCATCCCTGTAGCTCCAGCAATGTCTGACAATGACTGCTTCAATCAAGCCATGGTGTTTCTACACCCCCATGTCCCCCACCCATGTTCTTGCTCTTTCCACTACCAGGGATGCCCTTTACTCCCTCCTTCACCTGGCTAATTCCCACAAATTCTTTGGGCTCAAGTGGTCATCTCTTCCAAGAAGTCTTCCTTGGTGTACACAGCAGGGACAGGTACCCTTCTCCTGTATTCCTGTAGCACCCTGTGGAAATTTATATCAGAACCCTTGCCACTCTGAATTGTAAGAATCACTTTACATGTCTGTCTTCCTGCTCCAGCCTGGAATCTCTCTGAAGGTATGGACAATGTTTCATCCGGGTCTCTGTCTTCAGAGTCTAGCACAGGGCTTGGTAGACATTCAGTAAATGGTAAGCGAACAAATAGAGTGTTGGCCCCAACAGAAACGAACGGCGACACTGAATGTAGCACTCACGAGAGGATTTATTTTGGCATCTCTTGCTCACAAAACTCTAGAATCTTGAAGATGGTTCTTGTTTGCCCAAAACTATCTTCTTGACAATCAGTTCAGCTTCTCCCCTTCCAGGGGATATCTGGCCTCCCCAGGAGTTGTTTATCTTCCCTGCTTCAGGGTACAGCCTGTCTTTTGGGGACCATCTTTAAATGGGTATCTTCATCTAAGTTTATATAAAGTCACAGGTAAGTTTCACTGCTCTTGTCCTCAATATTTATCTCCTTAGTGACTTTTTCACTTTCTTTCTTCTCTTTTTTAATTTTTAAAATTTCAGTACAGTTCAAATCAGCATGCGTGGTTCATTTCAGCTTCTTCACTGCCAAAGCTGGGGGCAGGAACTGCTTCAGCTTCTCTGCCTTCTCTTTTTCTGTGATGACCAAGGTGTAAAGGTATCTGCTGCATCAAACTTTAAACTTCACATTATCCTTATTTTTCTTATCTTGACAGACTTGGCATCCTTTCACCTGGCTGTAAGCAGAAAGTCCTTGATTTCCTCAATTTTGTGAGCCATGGCAATGAGGCATGGAGAGCCTGGCTGGCACCTTCCATCCAGGCCCGGGGTCCCCAGATGTCACCCAGCCTGGATTACCACGGATTACCCCCCATTCCCCACGTACAGCCTGCGAGACACTCACTGCCACTTCTTCACTTTCTTATGCTCTCTGTTTCCCAGCCTGCATTCCAATCTTTTCTAACCAGCTGCAGGATAAGACCCTGGGTTCTGGTATCAAACACACTCAGATTTATATCTCAGGAATTCCCTGGTGGTCCAGTGGTTAAGAGTCCGTGCTTTCACTGCAAAGGGCACGGGTTCAATCCCTGGTCAGGGTACTAAGATCCCACAAGCCGTGCAGCCAAAAAAAAAAAAAATTATATCTATAGCCCACTGCTACTAAGCTTCCCTATGAGATCTCTCTGAGCCTGTTTCCTCTGTTGTAAATGGCAATGATGGGAATGATAACTATAGCCCTTATCTTAGGATATACTGAGAAGATTATATGAGAGAAAGCCATTATGAGAGGCTTAGCGTGGAACCTGACAAAGAAGAAAGCTGAATACATATCATTATGTCATTTGGGACATGCAGAATGTGTATATTATTATTTTATAATTTATTATAATATTATAATTATATAAAGATAATATCAATAAAATAGAATAATAAAATATAACATTATAATTATTGGATTGGCCAAAAAGTTCGTTCGGGTTCTTCCATAACATCTCACAGAAAAACCCGAATGAACTTTTTGGCCAATCCAATATATAAATTATAATATAATTCATAATATTTTACAATTACATTATAAAAATTATAATTTTTATCTACATTTTTTATATCAAATAATCAACAGGACCATACTAATTATTTGGCTTACTCTAGTTTCCCGTTTTTTAAAACTCTTCCTGCTTGTCAATTAAGCAGAAATATTTTAATTGTCTTAAAAGGAAAATTTGTAAACATATAATTTAAAATAATTCAGTCCACCTGTGGGAAGCAAAAGTCCCTGTAACAAATCTTCTTAAGTTCTTTATTTCTCCCTAAAAAAACCCAGTTAACTGTTGTTTATCCTTCCAGTTGTGTGTTTACATACACATGAATTATATACAACATGTAAACATACAGATTTTTTTAAAAGCATAGATGAGATCACACACTATATATTTGTAAGCAACTTGCTTTTTTTTTGTTTTTTTACCCTTTTAAATAAAGTGTACAGTTCAGTGGTTGTTTGTACATTCACAAGTTTGTGCAGCCATCACCACTAATTCCAGATCATTCTCATCACCTCAGAAAGAAACCCCATACCCACTGGCAGTCACTTCCCATTTCCCTTCCTCACACCTCCCAGCTCCCGGCAACCACTGATCTACTTTTTGTCTCCATGGAATTGCCTATTGTGGATATTTCGTATAAGTGGAATCATATAATATATGGCCTTCTGTGTCTGGCTTCCTGTCACTACATTTAAGTTCAGCTAATGCTTTTTAAAGATTACCCAGTATTCCATAGTTATGATGATTCCATAGTGTGGATTCATCATAATCCAGTTAATCCTCCACTCAATGGGCATTTAAGTTGTTTCCTTTTTTTCATTATCACAAACTACAAAACAATGAACACCCCATGCTTCATAGCAATGTTCAGGCTTTGTGAACCTTGTGAAATTTCCTGCAGGAAAAATTCTCAGGAGAGGTATTATTATTGGAGAAAAAATCACGCATAGTGAAATTTTGATAGATCCTGCCAAATTGCCCTCGAGAAAAGTTATATTACTTTCTAGTCCTTCCAACAGTGTGAGTTGAGCATTGCCCCCAGTCTTTGTTAATGTTGTATATTCTAGGTTTAAAAGAGAAGTGATTTCTAAGCTCACTTTCCCTGCAATCACACCAGCTTGTATGGTAGAAATAGCGATATTTTGGGGTACATTGAGTTAAATGAAATATATTATTAAAATTAATTTCACCTTCTTTTAATTTTTATTAAATTCACCTGCTTTAAGAAAAAATTTTTAATGTGACTACTTCAAAAATTTTAAATTACATATGTGGCTCAACTTTTATTTCCTTTTTTTTTTTAGTGATCAAATCGAAAACTTTTTTTTTTTGCTGCGTTGGGTCTTCATTGCTTTGCGTGGGCTTTCTCTAGTTGCGGCTATCAGGGGTTACTCTTCATTGTGGTGCGCGGGCTTCTCATTGCGGTGGATTCTCTTGTTGTGGAGCACTGGCTCTAGGTGTGGGGTCTTCAGTAGTCATGGCACTCGGGCTCAGTAGTTGGGGCTTGTGGGCTCCAGAACGCAGGCTCAGTAGTTGTGGCACATGGGCTTAGTTGCTCCTCAGCATGTGGGATCTTCCTGGGCCAGGGCTTGAACCTGTGTCCCCTGCACTGGCAGGCGGATTCTTAACCACTGTACCACCAGGGAAGCCCTCAACTTTTATTTCTATTGGATGCTGCTGCTCGAGAGTTAACCGTGACCTCTATCCTCCTCCTGAACATTCTGTTATTGGTTTTTACAATCAATGCACATTTATATTTACCCATATGTTTACCAGTTTCTTTGTTCTCCATGACTTCTTGCATGTCCTTCCTTCAGGTACATATATCCTCCCAAAAGAACGTTTTTGGGGGTATGTTTTTCAGCACAAATATGAGAATGGGAACCACTGTATCTTAGTCTAAAAGGGTATTGGATGATAGTGTGTGTATATATATATATATATATATATATATTTATTTTTATATATATATACACACATATATTTTTGTATATGGGGGGGTTATTTGGACTCTTAATCGTGGGAGGAGGGGTTGAGTTAGAGAGATGGAAGATACTTCAGTGAACTACACATCTTATTTCCCATGACAGCAAATTGAAATGTACAATCATAGTCAAGGTGTCTCACGGGAAACTGAGAAGAACAATACACCATATGTTATGTAGAAGTCCAATGTCAGTGTGTAAAGCCAAACACGTAGCCCCTCAAACTACTTACACTGTAGTAAATTTGAATTTTAAAAGTAAATTTCTTTTTGGGATTTCTGTGGCGGTCCAGTGGTTAAGACTCTGTGCTTCCACTGCCGGGGACACAGGT